TGCCCCACTCCCTGCCCCGAGGCCCCGCACCCTCACTTCATCTCCCCTTCCTCCGTCGCTTGCTCTCCCTCACCTTCAGTCATTTTCACCAGGTTGGGGCACGGGGTTGGAGTGCAGGAGGGGGTGAGAGCTCCGGGATGAGGCTGGGGGGGTTCAGAGTGTGGGAGGGGGCTCCAGGCTGAGGTGTGGGAGGGGGTATGGGCTCTGGGCTGGGGCCAGAAATAAGGGGTTTGGAGTGAGGGATTGGGCTCCGGGCTAAGACCGTGCATTGGGATGCGGGGGACGGGGGGGGGAGGTGAGGGATGCGGGGGTGGGCTCTTATGTGGGGCCAGGGATGAGGCATTTAGGGTGCAGAAGGGGGCTCTGGAGTGTGGGAGGGGGTGCAGGCTCTGGGAGGGAGTTTGGGTGCAGGAGGGGGCTCAGGGCTGGGAGTTAGGGTGCGTGGTGCGGTGTCTAGGCAGCGCTTACCTCAGGCGGCTTCCGGAAGTGGCAGCATATGCCTCTGGGCGGCTGCTAAGCAGAGGTGCAGCCAGACGGCTCTACGTGCCGCCCCCGCAGCTCTCACTGGCCGCAGTTCCCAGCCTCCCAGCCAATGGGAGCTGCGGAGCCAGGGGCAGCACGTGGAGCCCCCTGGGTGCCCCTGCACCTAGGAGCCACAGGACATATTGCCTCTTCTGGGAGCCACAGGAAGCCTGCCTTGGCCCTGATGTGCCACCGACCGGACTTTGGGAGGCCGGGTCCCTTTTTGACTAGCCATTCTGGTCGAAAACCACTGCTGGACACCTGGCAACCCTATTCAAAACAGCTATTGAGCATGGTTACCCACTTCCTCTACTGTGCTGACATAGCAATCACTTTTTTTGCAGTCACTCAATGCTCTATACCAGTGGTTCTCAACCAGGGTTACACATACTGCTGGGGGTATGCAGAGGTCTTCTAGGGAGTACATTGACTCATCTAGATATTTGCCTGGTTTTACAATGGGCTACATAAAAAGTACTAGCAAAGACAGTACAAACAAAAAATTCATATGGACAATGACTTGTTTATACTGCTCTATATACTATACACTGAAATGTAAGTCCAATATTTATATTCCAATGGATTTATTTTATAATTATATGATAAAAATGAAAAAGTCAGCAATTTTTCAATGTGCTGTGACACTTCTGTATTTTTATCTGATTTTATAAGCAAGTAGTTTTTAAGTGAGGTGAAACTTGGGGGTACACAAGACAAATCACACTCCTGAAAGAGGTACAGTAGTCTGAAAAGGTTGAGAGCCACTGCTCCGTACTGCCACCTTTTCTGAGAGCAGGTAGAAAGAGCAGCTGTAATTACAGCAAGTAATGTTTTTGGCTGACCACTAGGAAATAAAAAAAGAAATTGGGGTTACACTGTCATAAGTCAAGGCAGCGACCATAGGGAGGAACCTAAGGACTGAGGTGTGTGACTGGTAGAGCCCTGCAAATCTGCAGATATCTGTTTTACATCTGCGAACCATGTCTGTGGATACAAATTTTGTATCTGCGCAGGGCTCTAGTGATTGGAAATATTGTTCTAGCATTTGATTAATCAGACTGATTATTACATCACTGCAGGCACAATTACAGCTGCTCTATTGGTTTTATCGTTCTAGCCTTTAATTATTAATTATGATTACGACATTATGGAGTGCACTATTACAGCCCCTCTATTGGCTCTACTGTTTGATTATCAAGGACGATAAGTTTACTGCACACCTTACTGTCATACTATTGGGTTTACTGTTCCAGCATTTGATTATTGATGATGATTTTCATATTATCGCATGCACTATTACAGCTGCTATTGGGTTGATCATTCTAGCATTTGATTAGTAATGATTATAACATTTTTGCATGCACTATTACAGCTGCTACTGGGTTTATTATTCTAGGGTTTGATTATTAATTATAACATTACTGCCATACTACTGGGTTTATTGTTCCAGTGTTTGATTATTAATGATGATTTTCACATTATTGCATGCACTATTACAGCTGCTATTAGGTTTATCATTCTAGCAGCATTTGACTATTAATGATTATAACACGATTGCATGCACTATTACAGCTGCTATTGGGTTTACTGTTCCAGCGTTTGATTATTAACGATGAGTTTGACATTATTGCACAATTACAGCAGCTATTGGGGTTATCATTTTACCAGTTGATTATTAATGATTGTAACATTACTGCATGCACCATTAAAGCCACTCCATTGGGCTTATCAGTTCAGGGTTTAATTATTATTGACAATGATAAGATTACTGCATTGCACTATTGCAGCCAGACTATCAGGGGTGAATTTTCCAGCATTTGTTTGCTAGCAAGGATTAAAATGTGAACAGCTGTACTAGTATATTGGTGTAGATTTATTAACCCATCCCTACTTATTACACCCTACACTGGTTACATTAATTATAACATGTGCCTTGCAAACCTGTCTGGCATGTGCTACCACGTTCACCTCCATCCCCGATGGGCAGCAGGGGTTGGCTGGAGACAGGGCAGGGGGCGCGGGGCTGGCTACAGGCAGGGCAGAGGGTGCAAGGCTGGTGTGGGCAGGGATGTGTGTGGGGCTGACTGG